AGTCAAGATAGGTCATCATTTATATATATAAATTCTAACTACATGTACATAGGTTTCTATAAGTAAATAGAAAAAAATAGTTAATAGTGGTTTTCTATTTTTTTAAAAATAAAATTCACATAGGGGATTACGCATTAATTAAAATAAAATGTTACAAGTCTTTAATGAATCAAAAGCACTCTGAAAATGCAACATTTGGAGTAAAATGAATAGAAAAAGGGATTACTATCAAGATCATTAGAGAGCTTAATCCCAATTGTTTGACTAGGTTCCAAGGCTAAGAGAGTAAGAAAATTTTTGAATCTCGTAAGTGAGAAAAAATGACACTACAACTAATTGACTCCCTTATAAGATAAAATATTTGAGCAAGATGATTACATCACAAATTTATTTCATGGAATAGATACCAATAAACACATACACTAGCAAAGAAATTGAGAAGGCCAATCATCGAGTTTGATTGCTGAAAGTTTTTTTCTTTTTTTGTGAGTTTATTCTTAAATGATTAAGTTGATAGAACATATCATAAATTTACATAGGAATGTTATACTTCACTATTTAAATAAGAAGGCTTAAGATTAATATGAATCATGTCAAATTCTTTGACCTTTTATCTACCTCAATAATTTGAATTTTTATTGCCTCAAGTTACCTGACGTAGAGATACATCAGGTAGCCTATAATATATCGCCACGTGCTCTTACTCTTTACCGCACGGCCCAACGACCCAACCCGAAACGAATATGCGCGGTATTCGCTCGGTATTGCTAGGTACTACTCGGTATTTGCTCAGTACTTTCTCGGAAAAGGAAGAAATGGCAGCCCCCTTAAATTTCAAAGAGAAACAAAAATGAAGGTAGGGAGAATTGAACGAGAAAAGATCCGGTATTTACTCGGTATTTGCTCGGTAATGCTCGGTATTTGCTCGGTAATGCTCGGTAATGCTTCTTCCTCCCTCTGGTATGGTCGGACGGACGTCAGAAACGGAAGCAAGAGGGCGCTGAAGGGGTCCCTCGCTCCACCTGGGTCGCGCGACAGCAGTAGAGCCGCAGCTGGAAAGAACTCCGATCGGGCTTCCTTGTTGCCTGTACCGCAGCTGGCTCTTTCTTTCCCTGGTTTCACGGACACGGGAGGGTTGATCGGGCTTCCTTGTTGCTCGGGCTGGACGAACACAGGCAAAGCCGACCGGCTGGAAAGAACTCCGATCGGGCTTCCTTGTTGCTCGGAAGAACTCCGCTCTCTCCTTCGGCTGGAAAGACCGCACAGAACCACTTCCTCTCCGTTTCTCTCTCTCTCTCACTCTCTGTGTCGGGACGAACCTCCTCATACCGAGCATCCAGGCAGGCAAATACCGAGCATTACCGAGCAAGTACCGAGCAAATACCGAGCAAATAACGAGTAGTACCTAGCAATACCGAGCAAATACTGAGCAATATGTGAACATAGTAATCCCTGATTCGTTCCGGGTTGGGTCATCGGGGCGCGCAGTAAAGAGTAAGAGCACGTGGCGATATATTATAGGCTACCTGATATATCTCTACGTCAGGTAACCTGAGGCAATAAAAATTCCAATAATTCAGCTACTTAGATGATTAAGGCTTTGTTTGGGTCGACTTTCTTTTTGTTTTTTAAAACAACTTTTTAGTAAAAAAATTTATTTATTATGAAAATTTTTTACTAGAACATCGTTTTAAAAAACGGTTCAAAAATTGTCCCAAATGAAACATAAATCTAAATAATAAAGGATCATACATATTAGTGTATTCACGAGAGTTACATTTAGTAAGGAGACTTAAGGTTTCCTACATCTACGAATGATAACGATCCACGAGTTTTTATATGACAAAACAAAATGTCAACTCATGCCAAAAGAGTGAAATGGAAAGAAAATGACAAGAGGAAAAAACATAGTACTTGTAGGTTTCAAATTGTTGAAAGAAAATTATGCAATGCAACTTCTTTTATATAGACTATTGCCTAGGAAATGTCCTAAAAGTTGCCAAGTCAATCATTTTGAATAAGTCTATAAGTTTTTTTTTCTCTTAAATGATAAGCATTGAATTATAAATCATACATATGGATATATATCAATTCATACACAAATTAAAGTCCTTTATCCTCAACCAATTAGCTAATAATGGGTAGTAATTAATAAACAAAATTTAGAATGGTCAAATTTTTTATTTGTTAATTAGTAATATATATGAAAAAAATTAGAAAAGGACATACTTATCAAGTATCTTATATCTAGTATTTTTTAAAAAATGTACTTCCATGCCTACATGGTTGATGCATGTCACGCAGATAAAGAACTTTGTTTATGAATACATGGTTGAGGGTGCCTTGGTCGCAAGATAGGATGTACGTAAGGCAAAGGTGAACGTTGAGGTGCGCGGGAGGCTTCTCACGAGGGTATTTGTTGGTGTTGCTCTTGCGATTAAAATCATTATGCAATTCTTGATTAAAGACTATAGGTTTTTTTAGGTGGAGCTTTGGTAGCTAAGATTCTTGATCATGTTGATACATAAATTTGAAATCGACAAATTTACTGATGAAAATGATAAAGGCTTATGGAGAATCAAAATGAATGATTTCCTTGTTCATCAAGAAACCTCTGTGGTGATCTCCAGGGTATATCTGGCTGTTGTAACTAACAGTGCAAGGGCTAGGAAAACTCAATTGAAGGCTTATAGTGCTATTTTTTTATCACCCAGTGATGAAGTATTGAGGGAATTAGTCAAAGAGGGTTCTTCTATAGAAGTTTGGGAGAAATTGGAATCATTGTACTTGAAGAGATTGTTGGCCAATTTGTTGTATCTAATAAAAGCTCTATACACATTGCAGATGAATGAAGGTAAAGAATAAGAAAAATACATAGATTAATTTAACAAAATTATTTTTTATCTTAAGAGAGTAGATGAAAAAAATTGAAGAGGAAGATCAAAGCATTATTCTTGTATAAGCTCTTTGCCAAAATCATATGAGAATATAATGGATACATTACTATATGGTAAGTAAATGTTGATCATGAAGTCCGAGGTAAAATTGGTTTTAATGTCCAAATAACTTCAGCGTAGAAATGAGGATAAAGAAGAAAGTGTTGGCAACATTCTCATGATATCAAGAGGAAGACACCGGTAAGAAATATTTCTATTGCCATAAAGAATGGCATTTCAAGAGAAAATGCCCAGATTTGTTGAAGCGCGGCAAGGATCTAAGCCCAAAGACGATGCCAACTTAATTGAGACGACAAATTTGGCAGACATATGGAGTGACTCAAATATTTTGTAAATCTGGACAAGGTGGAGTTTGTTGTGATTGGTTCAGATTTATAGTTCTTCTTTCTTTAACCAGTAAAACTACAATAAATTTATATCAAATCATTTAGAATGATCAAATCTATAACATATCAAAAGATATATGGTGAAAACTTACGAAATCATGAGATAATATATTTTTTGACAGATTTATGATAGATAAATTCATAGAAATCAAAGTAATCACAAACAAAAATACGAGGATAATTATTTGCAATGATTAAAACACTTTTCGTTAAAGGAACAACAGATGAAATTGATAAAAAATGAACTTTCTTTGTCCTCCTCTCTTCCTTCGTGCCACTCCTTTCCTTCTTCTCGTGCAAGCCAGTTAAACGAGTGAGGGAGAGGTGATAGAGAGATATTTAAGGGATAAAATATTTAAAAATATATTTTTAGTAGCCTAGCGCCACAGCACTCAGACTAAGTGTCGCAACACTACATATAAATTTCAGAGTTTTTGCAGAACAGAGATACAAGCACTACGCCGTCATTTTCTGGCACCACTGTGCTCTCATGCATAAATTTGCAACATTACCTGCCATAGCGCCCGCTACTGCGCTCCACTTCATACAAAAATTTCACATTTTCCTTTTTTTTTTAAATACTTTTCATATTTTTTGGTTGTTACATTTCCGTACTAAGAAAAATAATCAAAGAAAAACATATAAAAATATATTTTTAGATGAAAATTTGGATAGCCCTCAATAAATCAAATGAGATGGCTAATAATGGAACAAACTTAGGTAGGAATTAATTGCTGAATTGGCCATGCCAGTCAAATTTTGCCTCCTCTTATTTGAAGGCTGAGAGAATTGTAGGTCCATCGTGAGCATCAATAGTCGGCCTCATTGATAGTTATCTGCTGATCATTTGTATGATAGATGAATTTTATGGAGATATGAATCATTCTCACATAAAACTTGAATCGAATAGTCCAAATTCTGCATTACTTAAAAGGCCGGTCGATACCACCAAAGGGAATGAATAATTATAGCAAAAGTTAAAGATGAATTTAATATGTAGTTGTTTTTTAGAGTTATTAGCTCTTAAACCATTGTGAAATTAATATAATTTTCTTATTTGTCATTTGAGTTTTCAAAAGACCATTATTTTTGTTTCATCTATAAAATATATTGCTAAATGTATGATTTGTGGCAATGTGAAAAACAAATTGTACTGTTAGGTAAGAAGGTGACTGATTTGGCCGAGCTTCCATATTGGATTCAGTCAAATAATTTTGTAAACCCATTGGGTTTAGCTCAGTTGGTGGGCGAGCATGATTGGGAACCCGCAATTAATCCTTGTTTGAATCCCCTCTCAAGCTACTCGGCTCTTTGAGGGCAGTAGCAAAGCATGGGCTCGGCGCTTACTGTTTGGCTCCGCAGGTTCAACCAAAGAATTAGTTACCGTACCATAAAATTTAAATGATTAAAACAATAATAATAATGTATTAAAGTATTTGTTATGATTATTCCTTCAAATAACCAATGGGTGGCCGGTTTTCCAATTAATTAATTAATAATATTGGCTGCCCATCACTTAATGTTTATCGGCCTGCGCCAAGCTTATAAAACCAACCCGTCGAGCTTCTCTCCTTCCACACCAAGGCCTAATCAAAGAATAAACTTCTCCCTCTCTGAAACTCTCTCTGCTCTTTAGGTGTTTGTTAGATTGCTTGTGATGGCACAGCAGAGGCTTTGGGTAGCTTTGCTCGTAATCTTGCTTCTAAAAAGCAAGCCAACCGAGTCCCACCGATATGTCGTCGGTGACAATGAAGGTTGGACCTATGGCGTCTCTGGCTGGCCGAATGGCAAAGTTTTTTATCACAATAACGTTCTCGGTAAGCCTTCTTCAAGTTTCTTATATATTTCCAGTGCGATCTATCTTTAAGGCCGAATGGAAAGAGATTTCCAATATATAGATCTAATATATATACGTGTGTGCGCATTTATGAAGCAGTTTTCAACTACGAAGCGGGAATTCACAATGTGGTGAGGGTGAACAGGCAGGAATACGAAACATGTCAGCCGAAGCCGAGTTCTAAGACGTACGATTCAGGTCATGACGAGTTCAGGCTAAAAAAAGGAATGAATTACTTCATCTGCGGCATGCCTGGACATTGCCAGCTCGCTGGCATGAAAATTTCCATCAATGCCCACTAATGCAGAGCCTTGAGTTTTTTTATAGAATTGGTGGCTTGTTTATTACGTGTTAATGTTATTATGTTTGCATTTTTTTTAATGTTTGCATGTTTGTTATTGTATGGTTATATGGTTGATTTAAGAGGTAACATATTGCAATAAAGATAATTTATTTCATGAGTCTTTTCCTTGAGTACTGACCAAGAAGCGCTATCTCAAACTTAATATTTCATTCCCCGCATGATTGTCGTAGTTTGTTCAAACCTATGATGTAGAGACAGGGCGATACGGATAAGCATGACACAGATATGGGACATGTCAATTATTGAAAATATAGGACACATACACGATTTGGACAAGGTATTATAATATTTATATTTTAGAAATATGTGTAAAAATTGAATAAGTATGATATTAAAAATGATTTAGAAAAAATAATTCATTTAACTAAAATTTGTGCTTAAAAATGATTAATATTAGGATGTCCAGAGTGTAATATCAATGTTGTATATGAGATATCAGGAGAGGAACTGACAATGTTGTTGAGAGTGGGCATCGATGTTATGTAGTAATTATCGAGCGTCAATGTCAAGAGGATGTCTATCATTGATGTTGAGAGAGTGTTGGTCGTGTAGAAATTGCTAACATTGAGCATCAATGTCAAGACAGTGTCAGGCTTTGATGTGAAAATGATTTTGAAATATCGATGTTGTAACAACGTCATATGTTAATGTTTAGATGACATCGGGCATTGTTGTAAAACCAAAGTTGCAATTCGCCAAAGAAAAATTAAAATGAGAATATTCGATGAATGAGATATTGAGCGCGGACGATTGATTTGACATTGTGGATGAGAAATGAGAAATTTTTTTAAAAAAAAAAGCTATCCCAAACTATGCCTAATGCGATCATCTAGCCAAGATCCCGAGGATGTCGCATTACATCAAGTCAATTTTGTCTATGACCTCAAAAGCTTGTTGTTGATCGCCACTTGGCCATTAGTATGGAGGCAGCCAAGAAAATTTAACAACTCATGTAGGCTTAATTTTACTATGTACAAACGGTCTTTAGTTAATAGTGAATGACAGTTGCCATTATCGATAGAGTAAAATAGATGAGATCTCATCTCGCATGCAGTATTGCAGATTTTTCTCCATTCTAAGCCATATATTTTCATCGGTGTTCTATCACTAAAGAATTCCCAGTTGATATAAAGACATCGAATATACGCAATATCAGTTTTTTTTTTTCGGCCAATTAAGAAAGGGAGAGGCTGGAGTATCTCTACTCGATGACCTAATTAGAAAAATACATTTATTAAATTTGATTAATATTAAGAATGGTAGAGATAGATTTAAAAAGTTTTGATTTAAAAATATTAGAAATTAACCTTTCTTTATTAAATAGACTTAAATGATAATTTGAATTTTAACAGGGCACAATGGAGAAAGAGAATTCATGTAGCCGACCTCACATAGTGGGATAAAGGCTTGATGTTGTTGTTGTTGAATTTAGATCAATTAAGTCAAACTCACACACACATCATATATGCAAGAGTTACTGTAAAAGATGATGTGACTAATCCTAGTCCAGCAGGCCATTATATCATGCCTGCTTCTTAACAAACACCTGCAGTCTCCACTTAGTATTACCTTTCTGTTTTATGCAGCTTTTGCAAGCCAGAAGCACTTTATTTACTAGTCAGCATTTTCTTTCTAGTATAGATAGAGAAGCAAAGGTACATAAGCGTTTTAGTTTTGCTGAATACAATTTATGGAAAGGATATCTCCTCCCCGTTCTTTACTTCTTCTCTCAGAGTTCTGCTCTCCCTGAGTTCTCTTCTCCTCTTTTCTCTTCTATTCACTATTCTAGGTTTTCTCTTTGTTTTAGGCAGGTTTTCACACCAATTGGTATCAGAGCTCGGTACCGAGCGACAATGGCGGAAGGAAGTAAGCGACCTACCCTGGAGGACGATCGGAGCCTGGACGCTTTGTGGAATGCTCAGACGAACATTGTGCGGCAACTGGAATCACGTACAAATGAGTTCGTTCGGTTCTCTACAGAAATGCGTACAGAGCTTCGTTCTATGAGGACCAATAGGGTGTTACCGGCGGGAGTTCGACTAGCAACACCGACACCTGCTCCGACTCATCAATAACAACGTCACCGACGACCTATAGCGGTCGTCCCCATGGCGTCTGATTCCGAGCTTGAAACAGAGCTACAACATCAGGACGCATCCGATTCAGAAGATGACGTCCGGCAGAATTATTATGAACCACCACGACGACATCAAATGCATCACCGACAGCAAGGTGAATTTCGTATAAAGCTTGACATCCCGTTTTTTGAAGGTCGTCTTAACATAGAGGACTACTTGGACTGGGAGAGAGCGGTTGAAGCATTCTTCGATTACATGGAAATAGCTCCAGAAAAACAAGTCAAGTACGTCGCCTGCCGCCTGGGGGGGGCCCGGCGGGGGGCGGTGCTTGGTGGATGTAGTTATTGCAATCCAGGCGGCGAGAAGGAAAGGGCGGCGTCACAAGCTGGTACAGGATGAAGTGTTTGCTCCGTGGTCATTTCCTACCAGTCGACTTTGAATAAATGATGTATTTGCAATACCAGCTTTGTTCACAGGGGGGAAGGACGATGAATGAGTATACTGAAGTATTCTACATATTGAGCGATATCAACTCGTCGCTCGGTATATATGCGGCCTGAGAGAAGAAATTCAAGATAAGTTGGAGCTTAATTCTGTTTGGACGCTGTCTCAAGCGATTAATTATGCCCTCAAAGTCGAGCTACAGCTCAGTCGTCATCCAAGAAGCCGCATCACTAATCATTCCACCACCGAACAAGCGGGGGAGGTGGCCAGACTAGTCATGGGAAGCAGCACTAACCCGGCAGCATCACAATTTGGAGGAGCAGGGATTCTCAGCTCTGAACTGAAACCTGCAACCCCTCTGCGCCCAAAACATCCAGCGAAGGATGCTAATCCATATGCCAAACCTACAACATTCAAATGCTATCGATGCTTCCAACCGGGGCATAAGTCGAATGACTGTCCAAATCTACAGCAATTGCACTTGGTAGAGGGCGAACAAGAAGAGGAGCAGCATGTCGGTGAGGCAGTGAATGAACAAGACTTTGAAGACCTTCAGGCGGATGACGGAGATCAATTAATGTGTATTCTGGAGAAGTTACTGTTGGCTCCGTGGCAAACCAATAACACTCAGCGTCACTCCATTTTTCGGACACGCTGCACTATTAATGGGAAGGTATGCGATATGCTAATCAACAGTGGCTACACGGAGAACATCATCGCTCGTTCTGCAATGCAAAAGCTTCATCTAAAAACGACCAAGAACCCACAAGCTTACAAAATTAGTTGGGTGAAGAAAGGTGTGGAAATTCTCGTATCAGAGATGTGCAGAGTAACATTCACTATTGGAAAAAATTACATGTGTGAGGTGTTATGCGACGTTCTAGAGATGGATGTATGCCACATTATTCTGGGACGGCCATGGCAATTTGACGTCGGAGCTATGTATGATGGACGCCTGAATACCTACGCCTTCGAGTGGAATAATCGTAAGATACGGCTATTACCTCATGCTCCCATTGATAATGCCCAGAAGCTGTTGGGTCAGGTAGCAATGTATATGGTGTTCAGACCGAGCATCATTGAGTCTTGGAAGGAAGGGACCAAAATGCTGGCATTAATTATATCCGCTTCCAGTTCATATGGCAAATTCCGACAGCTTCCTGTTGAGATACAGAATTTATTGCATTGATATGAAGATGTGTGGCCAGAGGAGCTGCCAAACTGTTTGCCCCCTCTCCGCAACTTGCAACACCAAATTGAACTACAACCGGGATCCACACTTCCTAACTTGCCACACTACAAAATGAGTCCACAAGAACATGGAATACTACAAGGCATTGTAGATGAGATGATGCAGAAAAATTTGATCCAACCAAGCTTGAGTCCCTGCGCTGTTCCTGCGTTGCTGGTGCTGAAGAAAGATGGGAGTTGGCGCATGTGCGTCAATAGCTGGGCAATTAACAAGATCACCATGAAGTATAGATTTCCGGTGCCACGCCTAGAAGACATGCTGGACAAGCTCACCGGGGCTACCATTTTTTCTAAACTTGATCTAAGGAGCGGCTACCATCAGATACGAGTCCGTCCCGGAGACGAATGGAAGACAGCGTTTAAGACTCGTGATGGATTATACGAATGGCATGTCATGCCGTTCGGGTTATGCAATGCTCATGCTACATTCATGAGACTTATGAATGAAATCCTGAAATTGGTGCTCGAGAAATGATGTGTCGTTTACTTCGACGACATCCTCGTCTACAGCTCTACACCTGAAAATCATTTGATTCATCTTAAGGCTATTTTTGATATATATATATATATTAAGGGCTAACAAACTGTATTTAAATTTCCCTAAGTGTGAAATTGCAACAGAGTCCGTCCACTTCCTTGGGTTCATTGTCTCCGGGGAAGGCATTCATATGGACCCGCAGAAAATTACAGCCATCGCTGACTAGTCAATTCCCAAAATGATCTCAGACATGCGCAGCTTCATTGGCTTGGCAAATTTCTATCGCCGATTCGTACGTGGATTCAGTATCCTGGTAGCACCTCTCACGGATTGCCTTAAAAGCAAGACATTGCAGTGGAAGCAGGAACAGCTGACAAGCTTTGACAACATCAAAATGGCATTAACCTCTGCTCCGGTCTTAGCCATCCCTGACTTCAACAAACCCTTCAGTGTCGATACCGATGCCTCGGCCATCGGCGTCGGTGCGGTACTGTCACAAGAAAACCGACCACTCGAATTTTTCAGTGAAAAGCTCAGCCCAGCAAGACAGAATTGGTCCTCCTACGAGCAAGAGTTATACACCGTCGTCCGAGATTTAAAGCAGTGGGAACATTACCTAATACATCAGGACTTTGTGTTGAGCAGCAACAACCACGCCTTGCAATTTATCAACAGTCAAAAGAAGATTAACAGGATGCAAACAAGATGGGTGACCTTCTTGCAACAATTTAGTTTCGTCTTGAAGCACAAATCTGGTACGCAGAACAGGGTCGCTGACGCCCTCAGCAGACGGTCCTCACTAATCACTAAGCTCCAAACTGACTTGCAAGGTCTTCAGTATCTTACGGAGCTATATGCATCCGACGCTGATTTTTAGGAGGCCTGGAATGCACTGTCACAGAGTACCACTTCCGCATTCCATGACTTCTCGCTGAGGCACAACTACCTGTTTAAAGGAAATCTGCTCTGTATACCACAATCGTCGTGGCGGGAGCATCTAATTAAAGAAGTCCATATCGGCGGCCTAGCTGCTCACGCCAGAGGAGCTAAAACCTTGGAGCAAATGCAGCGCCAATTTTATTGGCCACACTTACGCCGTGATGTAATCAAATTTGTGTAGCGATGCCCAGTATGCCAATTATACAAAGGTAATGCCCAAAACACCGGTTTGTATATGCCATTACCTATACCGAACTCAATTTGGGAAGACTTAAGCATGGACTTCATACTAGGATGGCCGAGAACAAAGAGAGGGGCTGATTCGATAATGGTGGTTGTCGATAGATTCTCCAAAATGGCACATTTTCTAGCTTGTAAAAAGACCTTTGATGCACTTAATGTCGCCATACTATTCTTCAAGGAAATAGTCCGCCTGCTTGGCTTGCCCCGGAGCATCACATCCGACAGAGATGTAAAGTTCGTTAGCCACTTTTGGCGAGAACTTTGGAAACGATTGCGGACCGAAATCAAACTAAGTATTAATTAAAATAAAAGGTTATAAGTCCTTAATGAATCAAAAGCATTCTAAAAATACAACATTTGGAGTAAACTGAATAGAAAAAGGGATTACTATCAAGATCATTAGAGAGCTTAATCCATATTAATTGTCTGACTCGGTTCCAAGGCTAAGAGAGCAAGAAAATTTTTGAATCTCGTGAGTGAGAAAAAATGACACTACAACTAATGGACTCCCTTATAAGATAAAATATTTGAGCAAGATGATTACATCACAAATTTATTTCATGGAATAGATATCAATAAACACATACACTAGCAAAGAAATTGAGAAGGCCAATCATCGAGTTTGATTGGTGAAAGTTTTTTTTTTTTTTTTTTTGAGTTTATTCTTAAATGATTAAGTTGATGGAACATATCATAAATTTACATAGGCATACTATACTTCACTATTTATATAAGAAGGCTTAAGATTAATATGAATCATGTGAAATTCTTTGACCTTTTATCTACCTCAATAATTTAGCTACTTAGATGATTAAGGTTTTGTTTGAGACGGCTTTCTTTTTGCATTTTAAAATAACTTTTTAGTACAAAAATTTATTTATTTTAAAATTTTTTTACTAGAAAAATCATTTTAAAAAGCAGTTCAAAAGCTGTCACAAACAAAACCTAAATCTCAAAACTAAAGGATCATACATATTAGTGCATTCACGAGAGCTACATTTAGTAAGAAGACTTAAGGTTTCCTACATCTACGAATGATAACGATCCACGAGTTTTTATATGACAAAACAAAATGTCAAATCATGCCAAAAGAGTGAAATGGAAAGAAGATGACAAGAGGAAAAAACATAGTACTAGTAGGTTTCAAATTGTTGAAAGAAAATTATGCAATGCAACTTCTTTTATATAGACTATTGCCTAGGAAATGTTCTAAAAGTTTCCAAGTCAATCATTTTGAATAAGTCTATAAGTTTTTTTTCTCTTAAATCAGTTAAATGATAAGTATTGAATTATAAATCATACATATGGATATCAATTCATACACAAATTAAAGTCCTTATCCTCAACCAATTAGCTAATATTGTGTAGTAATTAATCAACAAAATTTAGAATGGTCAAATTTTTTATTTGTTAATTAGTAATATATATGAAAAAATTAGAAATGGACATCCTGATCAAGTATCTTATATCTAGTATTTCCTTAAAAATGTACTTCCATGCCTACATGGTTGATGCATGTCACGCAGATAAAGAACTTTGTTTATGAATACATGGTTGAGGGTGCCTTGGTCGCAAGATAGGATGTAGGTAAGGAAAAGGTGAACGTTGAGGTGCGCGGGAGGCTTCTCTCGCGGGTATTTGTTGGTGTTGCTCTTGCGATTAAAATCATTATGCAATACTTGATTAAAGATTATAGGTTTTCTTAGGTGGAGCTTTGGTAGCTAAGATTCTTGATCATGTTGATACATAAATTTGAAATCAACAAATTTACCGATGAAAATGATTTAGGCTTATGGAGAATCAAAATGAATGCTTTCCTTGTTCATCAAGGAACCTCTGAGGCGATCTCCAGTGTATATCTGGCTGTTGTAACTAACAATGCAAGGGCTAGGAAAACTCAATTGAAGGCTTATAGTGCTATTTTTTTATCACCCAGTGATGAAGTATCGAGAGAATTAGTCAAAGAGGGTTCTTCTATAGAAGTTTGGGAGAAATTGGAATCATTGTACTTGAAGAGATTGTTGGCCAATTTGTTGTATCTAATAAAAGCTCTATACACATTGCAAATGAATGAAGGTAAAGAATAAGAAAAACACATAGATGAATTTAACAAAATTATTTTTTATCTTAAGAGAGTAGATGTAAAAATTGAAGAGGGAGATCAAAACATTATTCTTGTAAGCTCTTTGCCAAAATCATATGAGAATATAATGGATACATTACTATATGGTAAGTAAATGTTGATCATGGCGTCCGAGGTAAAATTGGTTTTAATGTCCAAATAACTTCAGCATAGAAATGAGGATAAAGAAGAAAGTGTTGGCAACATTCTCATGATATCAAGAGGAAGACACTAGTTATCTGTTGATCATTTGTATGATAGATGAATTTTATGGAGTTATGAATCATTCTCACATAAAACTTGAATCGAATAGTCCAAATTCTGCATTACTTAAAAGGCTGGTCGATACCACCAAAGGGAATGAATAATTATAGCAAAAGTTAAAGATGAATTTAATATGTAGTTGTTTTTTAGAGTTATTAGCTCTTAAACCATTGTGAAATTAATATAATTTTCTTATTTGTCATTTGAGTTTTCAAAAGACCATTATTTTTGTTTCATCTATAGTATATATTGCTAAATGTATGATTTGTGACAATGTGAAAAACAAATTGTACTGTTAGGTAAGAAGGTGACTGATTTGGTCGAGCTTCTATGTTGGATTCGGTCAAATAATTTTGTAAACCCATCGGGCTTAATTAGCTTAGTTGGTGGGCGAGCATGGTTGGGAACCCCCAATCCATGTTCGAATACCCTCTCAAGCGGCTCGCCTCTTTGAGGGCAGTAGCAAAGCATGGGCTCGATGCTTACTGTTTGGCTCCGCAGGTTCAACCGAAGAATTAGTTACCCTGCCATAAAATTTAAATGATTAAAACAATAATAATAATATATTAAAGTATTTGTCATGATTATTCCTTCAAATAACCCGTGGTTGGCCGGTTTTACAATTAAGTAATTAATAATATTGGTTGTCCATCACTTAACATTTATCGGCCTGCACCAAGCTTATAACCCAACTCGACGAGCTTCTCTCCTTCCACACCAAAGCCTAAACAAGAATAAACTTCTCCCTCTCTGAAACTCTCTCTGCTCTTTAAGTGTTTGTTAGATTGCTTGTGATGGCACAGCAGAGGCTTTGGGTAGCTTTGCTCCTAATCTTGCTTCTGAAAAGCAAGCCAACCGAGTCCCACCGATACATCGTCGGTGACAATGAAGGTTGGACCTACGGCGTCTCTGGCTGGCAGAATGGCAAAGTTTTTTATCACAATAACGTTCTCGGTAAGCCTTCTTCAAGTTTCTTATATAATTCCACTGCGATCTATTATTAAGGCCGAATGGCAAGAGATTTCCAATATATAGATTATATATATATATATATATATATATATATATGTAGTGTGTGGCGCGCATTTATGAAGCAGTTTTCAACTACGAAGCGGGAATTCACAACGTGGTGAGGGTGAACAGACAGGAATACGAAACATGTCAGCCGAAGCCGAGTTCTAAGACGTACAATTCAGGTCATGACGAGTTCAAGCTAAAAAGAGGAATGAATTACTTCATCTGCGGCGTGCATGGACATTGCCAGCTCGCTGGCATGAAAATTTCCATCAATGCCCACTAATGCAGAGCCATGAGTTTTTTTATAGAATTGGTGGCTTGTTTATTACGCTTTAATGTTATTATGTTTGCATGCTTTTTTTTTCTTTTTTTTTTTTAAATGTTTGCATGTTTGTTGTTGTATGGTTATATGGTTGATTTAAGAGGTAACATATTGCAATAAAGATAATTTATTTCATGAGTCTTTTCCCTGAGTACTGACCAAGAAGCGCTATCTCAAACTTAATATTTCATTCCCCGCATGATTGTCGTCGTTTGTTCAAACCTATGATGTAGAGACAAGGACAGGACGATACGGATAAGCATGACACATATATGGGACATGTCAATTATTGAAAATATATGACACATACACGATTTGGACAAGGTATTATAATATTTATATTTTAGAAATACGTGTAAAAATTGAATAAGTATAATATTAAAAATGATTTAGAAAAAATAATTCATTTAACTAAAATTTGTGCTTAAAATGATTAATATTAGGATGTCGATAGTGTAATATCAATGTCGTATATGAGATATCAGGAGAGGAGCTGACAATGTTGTTGAGAGTGGGCATTGATGTTATGTAGTAATTATCGAGCGTCAATGTCAACAGGATGTCTGTCATTGATGTTGAGAGAGTGTTGGTCGTGTAGAAATTGCTAACATTGAGCATCAATGTCAAGACAGTGTCAGGCTTTGATGTGGAAATGATTTTGAAATATCGATGTTGTAACAACGTCATATGTCAATGTTGAGATGACATCGGGCATTGTTGTAAAACCAAAGTTGCAATCCGCCAAAGAAAAATTAAAATGAGAATATTCGATGAATGAGATATTGAGCGTGACGATTGATTTGACGTTGTGGATGAGAAATAAGAAATTTATTTATTTTTTAATTTTAAAAAGCTATCCCAAATTATGCCTAACACGATCATCTAGCCAAGATCCCGAGGATGTCGCATTACATCAAGTCAATTTTGTCTATGACCTCAAAAGCTTGTTGTGATCGCCACTTGGCCATTAGTATGGAGGCAGCCAAGAAAATTTAACAACTCATGTAGGCTTAATTTTACTATGTACAAAGGGTCTTTAGTTAATAGTGAATGACAGTTGCCATTATCGATAGAGTAAAATAGATGAGATCTCATCTCGCATGCAGTATTTCAGATTTTTCTCCAATCTAAGCCATATTTTCATCTGTGTTCTATCACTAAAGAATCCCCAGTTGATATAAAGACAGAATATACGCAATATCAGTTTTTTTTTTGTGGGGATTTTTCGGCCAATTAAGAAAGGTAGAGGCTGGAGTAGCTCCAGATGCCGGTCGAAGATAAGATTAGAGAGAATCGGCTTCCGATGACTGATTAGAAAAATACATTTATTAAATTTGATTAATATTAAGAATAATAGAGGTAGATTTAAAAAGACTTAGTTAAAAAATATTAAAAATTAACCTTTCTTTATTAAATAGACTTAACTAATAATTTAAATTTTAACAGGGCACAATGGAGAAAGAGGATTCATGTAGCCGACCTCACATAGTGGGATAAAGGTTTGATGTTGTTGTTGTTGAATTAGACCAATTAAGTCAAACTCACACACATATCACATACGCAAGAGTTACTGTAAAAGAGAGGCACAAGCACCACACCGGCATTTTTTGGCATCATTGTACTCTAATGCATAGAGTTGCAACGCTACCTGCCATAGCGCCTGCTGCTGCACTCCACTTCATACAAAAATTTCAAACTAAGACAAATTCTTAAATTAATGAAAATATATAATATTCATAATACTAAAACTCTCCATTTGTCTGCACCAAATTGAGAAATAAGCTAGTCAGTTCTCCCCTATTTTACGATATAAATGATGTATAATTAAACCATTGTGAAATTAATATAGTTTTCTTATTTGTCATTTGAGTTTTCAAAGGACCATTACTTTTGTTTCATCTATATAGCTTATATTGCTAGATGTATGATTTGTGACAATGTGAAAAACAAATTGCATGGGGAAACCCTAAACTGCTCAAAGTTGTGAGATATTAAGCACTGTTAGGTAAGATGTTGACTTATTTGGCAATCCCTTCATTTTGGACTTGTTCAAATAACTTTGTAAACCCATCGGGCTTAATTTGGTTTGTGGACAAACATGGTTGGGAACCGCCCAACCCATATTCGAATCTCCTCTCAAGCAGCTCGCTTCTTTGATGCTAATGGTTTGACTCCGTAGGTTCCGCTAAACGATTAGTTACGCCACCATAAATTTAAATAATTAAAACAACAATAATAATGTATTAAAGTATTTGTCATGATTATTCGTTCAAATAACCCGTGAGTGGCCGGTTTTTCAATTAATTAATTAATAATATTGGCTGCCCATCACTTAACGTTTATCGGCCTGCGCCAAGCTTATAAAACCAACCCGTCGAAAGATATCCTGTTTGTATTGATCGGAATATATTTCTCTGTATGTTCTTCGGGTTCTACAATGTCACACTTAAGGGATAATTGCTCAAACTCAGCTATATATTCTTCCACTGTCATCTGTTGTTGTTGGAGCTGGGTAAATTTTAGAAAGATATCCTGTTTGTATTGATCAGGAATATATTTTCTCTGCATTTCCTGCTTCATTTTCTCTCAGGTGACAATCTTGCTTTTTCCCTCTCAGTTCCAGCTTGTTCTTTTAAGATTTTCCCACCAAAGAGAAGCAGCATGCTTGAGTTTAATCGCCACCAACTTCACGATTCTTTCGACGGGTACTTCTTTGAATTCAAAAATCCTTTCCACTGTTTGTAGCCAACCAATGAATTCGTCTGGATCCATTCGTCCGTCAAATTTAGGGAATTCCAGTTTAATTCCATAACCATGAGTTGTTTTCTTGTTACGCCTCTCTACTGGTCATCTTCCATTGCCATCATCGCTCGAATTTTCTTGATGAAATGGGTTAACATCTTCATCACCATTTGGATTTGCAATCGGGTCTCTCTGTTCAAATTTGGCTAAACGTTGTTGAAGCTGAGCTATTTCCCGTTGCAAATCTTCAACCAAGATTTCTTGAACTGGTCTTTGCACATTCCGGCGAGGCGGCATTTTGATTGCCGGCTCTGACACCACTTGACTCCGGACACTAAGAAATGGTCGCGGAAAAATACCTATAAGGGAGGTTCAAAGAGATTCGATCGTCGTTGCTCCGGCGACGTTAGTTCTTAACCAGGACGGGAGATCAGGAGAGGATTGATCGTCGTTGCTCCGGCGACGTCAGGTCTTCACCTACACGAAAACTATTCAGGCGAGAGCGTCTGATTTCATTTGAATTCAGAACGCGTCATTTGAATTCAGAACGCGCGCCAAAACCACCACCAGTCTGGAAACTGGATACAGAACACAATTTCCAAAAGGAAAATGTTTGGGGAAAATCAACCAATTCAGCTGCCTTAGGGCATCTCCAACGGATACGCAAACGCTCGTTTGCCGTGGAGAAGGTCGCTCAAACGGAGCGCGAAATCTTACGGCATACCGTCGCCAATGAACAGTGCGACGCCATATTTGGCGTCGCACTGTTCACCCGCCATTTGGTTTTATTTTTTATTTTTTTTTTTTTAAAATTTGAA